CAACTGCAACAAAAACAACGAGCCAATCGATACGTACAAATCACCGCTCAGGGGTGGGAGGGGGCATTTTTGCAGCCAGGCTATCGACTCATTGTTATCGGCACAAAACGACATCGACGAATCACGCGTATTGCATTTACAGGTGTCCGCATATACATTTCTACGACCGGATAACATCGCTCGATCGTACATACGCGCGCGTGCACATATGCAACTCCACCCACATTTTGTTTATTCGCGCGTAGCTTATATATCTTACACGGATTATCTACTCTTAAACAAATAAACTTTCATACGAACGAAATCGTGACCTTATGTATATTACGGTGTTATGTGCGCGTGGCGTTTGGAGCGCGCGACAATAAGTGCAGCGTTTTACGCCGTAAGTGCGAAAAACCCGCTCATGGCGATTAGTTTATTAGCGCGATATTTAATTACGCGAACACACATATCTGTTTCTTTTTCTCGAGCGCGAGGCCTATGCGTAACGATTATTTATAAATTAATAATAATGTACGAGAATTTAATTAACGATCGAATGGTGATTTACACGAGCGCCGTAATACGTTTATAATATGTAAATCAAGAGATTTCAATCAATTTCTCGGTCGTATAAAGAACAACTTATTAATCCAATCCCTGGCACGTGCGCGCATAGCGCAGAGCGACCGACTATTTATACTAATGACACATACGTACCGAAGTAAACGAGCAATTAGTGTCTGCGGTGGTATATGTATACGTCTGGAGCATACAAGCACATATAGAGAGAGAGGAAAAAGGGGGAAAATAAAAAAGATTCGGTTTTCAATTCGCCAACTGGCTTAGATGGAAATACCTGTGGTCAGCGCCGCGAGTATTATACGCGTATGTACGTATACGCACGCGCGCCGCTTAAATCAGACTCTCGGGCTAGCGGTGATACCTATAGCTCGTCGCGTTTGCGGAAAGAACGAGGCAGAAGAAGAAGCAAGAAGCTCCGCGCGCGGATGTATCATACGAGCGTGGATATTTAATTAGCCTCTGCGGTGCATTATGTCGCTCATCGCGATATACCTCGCTGCGTATATAGCTAAGCGTATGCAGCCGCGCGTTTTCTATTAGTGGCGCGAGCGACGATTCGCAAATGTCTTTATTTAAATGTAAAACAATTTACCAAAGCTAGACTTCTTTTCTCAAAGGGCTCATAATGCACGTACATATATATATACGTATACTGATTAAAAAGTGAAAGTCGCTGGAAATTCCTGGCTCGCACAAGAACGATGTGCACAAGTGCAGCGGCAACGCGCCCGAGCTCCGTATTCACATGCACACGTTTATTATGAATTTGATTTATCGTCGAAAGTTAAATAAAACTTGATGTGTAAGAGAGCCTGAGCGATATTCGTCGGTGTAGCGTACTACATGCACACACACACACACACACACACACACACACACACACACACATATATAATGCACACATGAGCATTGATTTATGTCAAAAGAAAAATGCCAATACGTCTTGATTTCGAGTTGAGCTATGGCGCGCGCGTGTTGACTGATCGCCGGCTCGCTCTTGAACTATATATTTATAGATATTGAGCGAGAGAGTTCCTTTTGTTTTCTCGAAACGATAAATAAGTTTTGCGTAAGTGGGGCCTCTCTCTCGCGCGCGCGCGTCCCGCGCAGCTTTGCCAAACGATCGTAAAATTTTCTGCCCCCCAAAAAATTCGACGGTATTTTCGGAAAATTAGAATAGCTACGCTTGAAAATTTGCCTGCAATGATTTAGCAGAGTTTTATGGCCGAACAGCGACGTCCTTCTGGTATTTTGACTCATTGGCGAGACGACGTTGATAAATCTGTCTCTTTGCGTTGATATCTGTGTCCGCGATCAGCATTAATCACTCTAATGATCCTCGTCGCCCATAGGTCGCACTGCCTGGCGTGTACCTCTGTGACCTTGCCATGCTGATTTTTTTCGATTTGCATGTATCCTTATCGATTTCATTCGTACGAGTGTCATGAAAAAAAATTTGTCATTGCAATCGTGAGCTTTGCGGTCGTTGCGTGTTTTGCCGTTGGACTTTTAAAATGTAAAATCATTTAAAAAAAATAACAATTTAATTTTGTCACTGAATGAATTAAACGTAATTTATTATATCGAAATCTGATAACGAAAATATTTCTGTGACTATTTAGACGTGGGTAAAGCATAATTCCTTTGCTAACGAGCTCTTAATATCGATGTACACGACTGTTTCTCGGATGATTTTTAACTCGACATGGCATTAAATCATAATATGCTTCGGTTCACCTGCGGCGCTCGGGCAGATCGCGCATAAAGCACGAGACATTTTTAGAGCCACGAGGGTGCATCGGTTCCATATCGCGCAGCAAATTAAGAGCAAAATATTATCGGGCTCGCATTCAAAAACGTCCAATACGTTTACACGAGATATAGGGTCGTTAGGAAAAATGCATTACACGTGTGTATGTATAAATGCCTGCTGTATACATATATAGGCCTAGCGTGTGGGGCTCTGGATTGACGTTATCTCATCAGAGTCAAAGGCATGAGCCACACGTTGGTTATACACCGCACAGCACCTAGCGTCAACACATCAGCGCGCGCAGAGCCACCGCCGCTGCCCCGCGGTGCAAAGTCAGTTCTCCGTTATGTACGCCATATAGTACTTATACATAGGTATATACCTGTGTGTGTATGTGTAACAAGAATCGAGAACGAGAGGCAGTTGTCGAGGTTTTTTTTTTGTTCTCCTCCTCGCGCCCAGACTCTCGGGGATAAAGTCCGCTCGCGCTATGAGAAGATACGCGACTGATGGCAGCTCGCAAGACTCCAGCTCTCTTATGCGCGCGGCCAAAGAGGGAGGTGCACGCGCGCAGGCATATAACGTTCTAATCTACGCCCGTTGCTTTTTTGCACTTTAAATGTATAATATAAAATACGGTGTGCTCTCGCAGTACTTGCGCGCGAGAGCTCGAGAGCGAGCGCCATGCAATCTGTCTTCCGACACGTGATAAATCAATCTCTCTTTTGCGCTCGCGAGCGTTGTCTCTCTTTGCGAGTGTCCGAGCGCTGAATGAGCCGCGGACGACTACGAGAGAGAACGGACCCGAGTTACATTAACGCGTGTACGGCCGGCGCCCGTTGGAGCTTTATTGTGTGTACGCGCGTGTAAATGATTGCGATGAGATGAGCTCCGCGAACATAACGCGCGAACGTCTCGCGACACTCTCGATTCTATATACGCAAGCACTGCGAAGCACATTTCGGCTCGGTACGCGCGCACATATACGTTTCAGTAGCCCGAGCGACACTAAAATTGAAGTCCCCGCTGTTTTTACGTCTTTACGAAGAAAAGTATCGACTCGTCCGATCTCTCCGTGCGTGAGTTTGTGCATTTTAATATACGCAGCTGGACAATAAAAGGCGATAAATTTACGATCGTTAACTCGCGATAGAGCGATATAAATCGCGCGACACGTATGTATATCGGACGAATGGCTTACTTCGGAGATGCAGCCCCCTTATGGCTGCGCCTTTTTTTTTTTCTTTTCCATATAAACCGATCGATGCGCGGCTGCTTTCTGCGCGTGCGATTAGTTGCGGAAAAAAAATCAGACAATGGCACTGGTTTTCAAGGGAGAAAGGCTTGCTACAGCATGCCCATTTGAGAATAATCGCCAGTCACAGCCGATCGCGTCTATTTTTGCATTTGCAGCGATGACGGTGATGAAGTGCTATATGCGCACTTCTTTCGTTTTAGCGTACTTTCCTCCTTGGAATTCCCGCCCGTCTGATTTTGTCGCGCGCATTACTTCACGTGCGCGGAGCTTCGATGAGGATTTATAGTCCAGGAAGATAATAGTTATCCGCTCGCTACCACGCCAAACGTGCTTTAAGCTTTTTATAATTAATTTCATTACAAAATATTACGTACACGCGCGCTCTCTCTCTCTCTCTCTCTCTCTCCCTCGGATATCATTAACGCGAGCGTTGAGTAGCCACCGGAGTGCGCAGCAGCGAGCTGCTACTGTCGATCATTAAAAAGTGCAATTTCACGATGAAAGCGATGCAGCAGGCAGCAGTAGCGCGGGGGCTCCCTTAGGGGGGCCGGCCTCCTCGCTTGTGCGGGAGCTGCAGTGCCGCGAGTGCGTGCATCTACGCAGTCTCGCGTGTTTCAGCGCGCTGCCTGCTGCCTGGCCGCAACGTATCTCGCCGATGGAGCTTCCATAATTTGCTGTTGCCGTTGCTCGACCCGATACGCGTGCGCCGCGCTGCGCGAGTCGTTTCTTGTTGCCGGGGCAGCCGCGCAAATAAAGCAACGAGACCGGCTGTGGATGCTGCCGTGGTGTTTGCATGCCATTCAAGCTCTGTTCACATTGGCCTGCTTACTCTTTAGCGCTGCGAGCCGAGATTACTTTTTAGCTTATGTGTGATTACGAGCTATTCGGAGATGACGAAATATAATTTCAAAGTATACTAGCACCCTTCAGTGCGCTGCGCTCGCTCAAACCATGCCCGTACTGGACCGTGCGTATCATCAGAATCTTCAAAAATTTTAAAACTCGTCCTCGATGCAACGATTAATCGTAACGCGTTTACGTCAAAGATTTATTTTTAAGTGTTCAGATGCGTTGTGTAAAGTTATCAGTCCCACCGTCGCATTTATTATACTACCATCTGTATTTCCAATGACTCATTTAAACTTAATTCCAATACCAAAGTTACAATGTCTTTATTTGAGTGCAGTACCTTTATCGTGGGTTACAAATTATATTATTGTGTTATACAAATTTTTTTCCACATTATGTAAAGTACGTTGTGAAAACTAATCGCACGCCTGTATGAATGACACTTTCATTACAATTTCGCTGTAATTTTAATATTATTCGAGCACATTACTGACAGTCGACGGTAGAGGGGAAAATATCGCCAAGCAGCTGTCAATCGCGGGATCAACTCGCTAATATTACAAATAACGAGTTCAATTGAATTAATTCCTTGGTGAGCAATTGTTTACAAATTGAGAAGATCAAAGTACAGTGTTGGCTATTTGTGGTGTTCGACTTCGAATATTTTCTCAGAGTTCGAATATAATAATTTCTCAAAATTCACAGTGAATTTTTATAATGACGCGAGAGTTGAAAAGCAGCAAGGACATGATAAGGTATGAAATTTTTTGTACATGCCATAAAATTTTTTGAAGCGAATGTTTCATCAAATTTGGACATTCCTCAGAGTAAAGGAGGAACCGAAAGATAGTTGGTCAGATGGAGGCGAAGATTCTGTGGACTTTTACCAAGTTAAAAACTTTGAAACATTCCCACACGTTAAAAGATCGGTAAGTTTAATGATTTTAATTACTTTCCGTTTCAATATTATCAAAAAATACTACATCATTTTAATTTTAGGGAAGTTACATAAATGAAGCTATTGTCTTGAACGAGAAGTCGGATGATAGTGTAACCATTGAATTTGAATGCAAAGATGTAAAAAATGAACCGTCTTCTCTATTGAAAACCACCTGCCAATCTGATTGTAAAAGTTGCTTACCTTTAGTGAAAATGGAAAACAGAAAACAGACGAATCAATTGAATGAAAGAAGTCTAATGATTTTGATAAAAAAAGATTTTGATTATAGCAAAAATTGCTCATTTCAAGAAAACTCTCAATTGAAACTTGACAAAATCGATGAAATGAAAATACTTGAAAAAAGAACACAAAGTGAATTATCGTATAATTTTAATGCTTGTAAAAAAAATCACAACAAAGAAGCGAGTCTAAAAAGATATTTCAGTAAGGACCACAGACAATGTAGACCAATCGAATGTCATATTTGTCACAAATTATGTGATCGGTATACTTACAATAGACACATCATGACAGTACATAATTACAGCAAACCCTATGAATGTGAGATTTGTCACGAGTCATTTAATCGCAAAGATACCCTTAAAAGACACACAAAAATAGTACATAATCGCAGTAAACCTTTTGATTGTGATATTTGTTACAAATCATTTGGTTTAAAACATTACCTCGAAAGACATATAGATGCAGTACATAATGGTAGCAAACCCTTCGAATGTGAGACTTGTCATAAATCATTTGGACAAAAAAGTACCCTCAAATCTCACATAAATTTAATACATAATAAGAGTAAACCCTTCGAATGTGAGACTTGTCACAAATCATTTGGAAAAAAAATTACCCTCAAATCTCACATAAATGCAATACATAATAGGAGCAAACCCTTCGAATGCGAGACTTGTCACAAATCATTTGGAAAAAAAAGTACCCTCAAATCTCACATAAGTGCAGTACATAATAAAAGCAAACCATTCGAATGTAATGTTTGCCACAAATCATTTGCACGAAAAAGTGACCTCACTAAACATGTAAATACAGTACATAATCATAGCAAACCTTTCGAATGTGAGATTTGTCACAAATCATTTGGATATCAGAATGTACTCAAAAAGCATATGAATGCAATACACAATCAGAGCAAATCATTTCAATGTGACATTTGTAGCAAATCATTTGGATGTAAACAACATCTTAAAAGGCACATAATTGCAGTTCATAGTCGGAGCAAACCCATACGGTGAAGTTGCCATAAAGCATTTGGATACCAAAATAAACTCAAAAGTCACATAGTGGCAGTACATATGCGCAGCAAACCATTCGATTGTGAAATTTGTCATAAATCATTTGATGTACAGTATAATCTCAAGATACAGTACGTAATGACAGTACATAATCCTTTTAAATGCGAACTTTGTCATAAGTCGTTTAGACAGAAACATCTCTTCTAATGTCATATAAATGAAGTACAGAATGAATGAAAATCTTAAAAGCGTAAGATTTGTCCAGGTATATTTGGACGCCATAAAGAATTCTGTAATCACACGAATACGCTAAGTAATTTTGTAAAATATTTCGATCTGTCATTAATTTTGTCCTGATATTGAAAAATCTTTTCCTCATCTTTTGTACATAAATAAAAGTATTTATAATGTGCTAATTTTAAATTATTCTTAAAAGTATTTATTTTGAACCGATGTATCAATATTCCAATTACCAGTTGAACCGCTCAGAAGTACCTGCTCCCTATTGGTATGTTACTTTAATAGTAAATTCGAGTATATTGCCAATAACTCGATGGGGTTTACGGTGATTATTGAATAATTCTGGTATTGTTTTAGATTACATTAGGAACGATACGATGACAACACCGATACTCCCGAGCGTTACACAGACTCATTATAGCTTATTCAAAGAATCAAACACGTACAGGTCGCAGAAAAACAATTCGATATTTACTGCAAACCTGAGCGAGTTCATGATAATATTCGAATTTGTTCGTACTTAGAAAAATCTAAAATTGACAGAATCTAAAATTGAAAAGAATCAAAAAAATTCAATTGACAGATTTTTACCGAAGAATCATCGAATGAAAAACAATCTTAACCATTGATTGAAGCGGCTCAAGTGTGAACGAAGCCTTAAGCAAACGCACGCGCGAGCTCGCCCCAATGCAAAGTCTTGTAGTGCGTGCAACAAGACGTAATGTGCTTATCGATAGTTTGCAGAAAAGAGAGAAGCTAATTTGCGACTGTCGTACATTTCTTCCATATCTTTCAACGTTCCTGCTGCAGTGGCTTTTTCTCTCTCTCTCTCGCTCTACCGAGAGCTGCTGCTGCTATGTGTACACCGCGAGCCTGACACGCGATTACATTTATAGCCGAGAGTAAATTCTCTCAACAAATGCGACTATCTATTTATGCAAAGTACATCGTCGTCGTCTACTAGTGAGTGTATGTGAGCGTGTGTGTGTGTGTGTGTGTATGTAGCAACTCGTAGCAAGGGTGGCAGATATTCAATAATAATGATAACGCAACGCAGCCACAATAATAACAATGATGTTATAGCTTGTGCTTTACACAGCTCTGCTTTTTTATTTTCCATTGTCAATCGGCCATTTTTACACACAATTTCAATAAATACGCACTTACACGTCGTGACTTTTGTTCCTCGAGATTCTGTTGCGCGCGGCTGGGCGCTGAAAACGATTCCTAAGCTAATAACACAACACCCATTGCTCCCACGTTTGGATTTTTCGTAAACTCTATCTCGCAGCGATTCGAAAAAAAAAAGAAATACATCCGTTAGCAGCAAAAGTCTAGGCTTACTTGTTTCTGCAAATGAAAGCTCTCAGCGCTCTGTGCTACAGCAGTAGTGGCCCTCGCACAGTAGCAATAACGATCTGGAATAATCGAGCGCGGTTAAAGGTCCCAGAAAAGTGCATTAAATACGGAAGTAACAGATATCTCTTGAGTCGCAATCTCTCGGGCTCTCGCAACAGCCTCTTGGGTCAGAAATTCGAGACAATATACCACGTGCATTTGTGTGTGTGTCTATACGTGTGTAAAGATATAGCGCGCTACAGGTAGGGCGACACACGAAGCTTTCTTCGAGCTTTTTTTCGCTTTCGATTCTCTGACTGCGCGGCTCCGTTATCGCGATCGATGCATCATAGCTCGAGTACACCTGGAAAAGTAACAAGAGTATCGAGCGGCCGCCACTGCTTAATGAGTCGCTGGAGCTTAACAAGCACTAGCAGCAGCAGCAGCAAAAGAAGAATATGTGTACGTAATCAAAGACCGGGAAAATCGAGAGCGATAATTTCGTCGGCGGTGGCGAGCGCGAAAAAATGACGTCGGATCCGTAAAAAGTCAGCCGCTGTACTATCGCTTCTCGATCTGGCAAGTTGAGGCAACGTCAATGACGACGAGCGACGTAGGACGACGACGACGATGGGGACGCGCGCGTGCGCTTATATTATATAGCGCGTTTGAGCTCGCTCGCGCTCTCCTTCAAAGTAGCCGAGCAAATCGCGCTAAGGCGAGCGAGCTCCAGAGAAAGAGGTATAAAGTTTCGCGTGCGCGCAGGGACGTGCACTGTTGTGCGCATTATCCGCGACCAATCTTGCTCTCGGGTAAGCCAACAAGCCAGCCTAGCTCTTTCTCTCTCGTTTTCTCTCTCTTCTTCTCTTTCTCTCTCTTGTGAAGTTGTTGAATTATTGGCCTGTTATCTATATGTATATTTACACATATATATATGTACAAGCGAGCGAGTAAGAGAGAGAGAGAGAGAGAGGGTGGATAGTAGCTCAGCGCGCTCGGCAGTGAGTTGTGCGGCGAGGAGCGCGCTCGCTTCTCTCTCATCTATTGAAGATCGAGTTTCAGGTTCAGGTCGCCTCTTTTGAAAGGCACCGCGCCACTAGCTCCGCCGGAGCGCTCCTGTTGTAACGTACCTTCTTCCTTTTTCATCCTTTACTTTTTTATTCCCGCAACTGCGTGCCTGGCTATGATCGTGAAAGGCTATATTCCTGCCCGCGTTCCACGTATACTGCACTGCTGTGCGCGCGCTTGTTTGTTTTGTTAATCTGAACAACTTTTTTTCTTCTTGCTTTCTTCACGAGTGTCCTCCGTGCGATAATTACGATGAGTTTTAGAAAGAGCAGTTCTCACTCTGTCTTTATCTCGAGGCGATAATTCAAATTATCCTTGACCATGGGAAACGCCAGTTGTAAAGTCGTGCACCGAGCGAGCTTTCAGACATCGCGAATGTATAAAATATATCATTTGTTATAAGTTCAATAAAACATTGCTTGTGCGCTTCGAGTACGACTGGCAAAATGATGAGTATGTAAACTAACGACATCTAGAACAACATTATTCATCGTCGATATAACTAGGTTGGCCATTTGTCAACCGAAGCATAAATATGGCGCGACACTAAAATTGTTTATTTTGCATGTCGCCGATTTGACGAGACTTCATCTGCCATCGTGAATTATAATGTTTAAAAAGCAACGATTTTTAGTAAAGCTGAGCCCAAAGATCTTACGAATTTAAAAACTTACCGAATATTTTAAAACCCAATGGATCCATGACTCAGACTCTTTGAATACAAGTTACCTGCACAGTTAATCTCGTGAAGCGGTGCTGTTTTTTTCTGGTCCGGTTTCTGTATGTAAAAAAAATGTCTCCGTTCCAGAGCAAAGGGTGAATTATCACACGTCGAGACCGACAGAATGGAAAAACTGGAGCACTTATAGGGTATTGTATAACTCGCCGCCTCTTGGTCGTCGAAAGAAACAAACGACGCGTGACTCGAGCGCTGTTCTCGGACGGACATCCATCCGTATTTGTGAATATATGTGTGTGTGTGTGTGTGTATTTATAAAAGGTGTGCCATATATATGTATAGCGAGGCGAGCGTCATGGCATTACTGGCACGACCACCGCAACATCGAACGACGACGACGACGACTATACGACGACAACCAAATGTTCCGAGTTGTAGTTAGCACACCTTGTGTAGTATATAGCGAGGCGCACCACCGGCGACGATCTTGATTTTATTGACTCCTTTGCGCTTTGTACCTTGTATACTTTGTTTTTTCATCCGCTCGTTCTCTTCATCTGGTGTGCGATTTTTTTTCGCCGTTGTTGCTCGTTTCGTCTATCGAGCGCACTACTACCGACCGAGCTCCAACACTTCCCTTTCTTATACATATATAAACGCCACAGGAACGTACATAGGAAAACAAAAAAAGGTCACGAACTTGGTGTTTCGCGGCAGAGCGAGCTGTAAATGACTGCCTATACACAAAAGAGAGCCACACAATACACGGCCGCCACGGTGTGTCTCTTGCTTATATATAGAGTTATATAGGTATAGGGTCTGTGCCAGCTGAAATATTTCAAAAGAGGACACCTCGCATCGATAGCTCGACGCTATAGTATAATTTTCACAAGTGACACACGAGGGTCGATCTAGTCAAAGGCTATATATATACGTGTGTGCATATTGATGGGTGTGAGTCTCTTTCTCTTCTCTCTCCTCTGCGGGCTGGATATGTACTTGTGCGCGCAGTTCGTGACACCAAGAATTGTCGCTCCGCTGTCTGCCCATTAGCCGCGTGCGCGGCCTTCTTTTGCGCGCTCGCGAGAGAGAGAGAGAGAGACTAGAGCCTCGACAATCGCTGATTATAAAATGCGCGCGAGAGCTCATCGTATGTATATAGTGTACCACAGGCAGGCACTGGTGCATATCC